ATTGCATCTTCAACCCCAACTCCAGCCTTGAAATTTCGGAAATTCCTAAAATCGTGAAATTGTCTACCTAGTTATTTCTCACGTCATTTGCTACCGAAATGGTATATGTGATCMTGGCCGTAGGACGAACCGTTCCCGAGATACGAGCGAAAATGCGGCGCACCACAGCGCAAGGTGAAAATCGGCTTGCGGGCCACACTTCTTGACGTTTATTTCACCAAGTGCTATCACTCACATTCATTCACCTACGCCAAAGGACATGTTCGGATAGGTCTCCACACAAATATTTTTTCATCGAGTTCCTTCACTTTTCTCGGTGATTTCGCCGAGTTCTCTCACTTACATTCATTTCCMTGCGCCATACGAAACGTTCGGACTGGTTTCCTCATAAATATTTTTTCATCGAGTTCCTTCACTCTTGTCATTGATTTCGCCGAGTGCTATCACTTATATTCTCTCAACAGAACACAGAACTCAAAATGTCTGTATCTCAATTTAAATTTAGACAGAAATTTCCTGTGTTTGGCATATATCCGTAGAGTCTCTCTGAGTCCCAGTTACCTACTTACCAGGATGTTCTTTTCTGTTATCAGTCTGAAAGATTTCGTATAGGGCGACTCCGAGGCGACAACTATGAACCTAGGAGTAAAGAGGTTACAGAAATAGTTGTAAAAACGGTTGAAAATACTTTCAAAAAGTCATCTATTCCGATAGTTTCACACACTAGAGTTGTACAAATGCTCACCACATACCATAAGAAATTTCTGACTCTTAAACAAATGTTGTTAAGGAACCCAATAGGTTTGAGCTCTAAAAGAGACGACTTTGTCTCTTCTGCCGGAAAATTATTTGACATCGCTGCATGTAAATGCATTTATTTTTCTTCTTGCACTTGTTCAAAGGAAAGGAAAGTTCCTATCAATGAACAACCATTTCTCTTGGACCAGAGAAGCAGGAGAATTGGTTGTGTTGGAAGTGTTGCTCTACCTGAAGCAAAAAAGATTACAAAGAAAAATTAACGTAAAGAAAAGTTTTCAAAACGTCATTCAACATCAACCCTTACCAGAAAAATATCAGCTAGAACACGTGACCATTCAGATCAGCAAGACTCATACAGACGACAACAATGTAGGTGCGTCGCACATGGATTTTTCCAAAAACGATGCTGATGATGAATTTTCTCTTCCAACCTCTAAAACCAAACAAAACACACTAGTATTAGAACACACTGCTTTAGCTGCCAAAACATTCGTAGTAAATGATAGAGCAGCGGTCTTGATTGTTTCATCTGCTTTTCTGGCTACCAAAAAAGCAGGTTTGATAACAGAGGATCATTCCAGCTTTGTCACTGACAAATACAACATTAGTCGGGTAAAAAAAAGTGTTGGAGTTATGCTCCAAAACACCGAAAGTATTGACTGTGTATACGGGCTGTATTTTGACGGCCGCAAAGACAATACACTTACACAAGTCAGCGAAGGTGAAAAGTACTACCGCTACACTGTCAAAGAGGAACATATTCTCTTATAGAGGAACCTGGTTGTCATTACTTTGGCCACGTCACCTCTCCTTCCAGGTCAGCTGAGGATGAGACGTAAGTTTATGGCAACATTTACAAGACAATGCAGTTGATGTGGAACATCTAGAAGTTGTCGGTGCTGATGGCACCAACATGAACACAGGTTGGAAAGGTGGAATCATTCGGAAACTAGAAGAAAGAATAGGTA